TTAAATAAATTGTAATCCTAAAAGTGAAACTCCTATTCTCTTGGAAACAAAAAAGAAAACAATCCCACAGGTGAAATGTTTTTTGTGTGCAGATTTTTACTCTCCTTTTCTAAAGAATTTGATGCAAGTCTTATCCTATTCTTTTTTTTTATACTGACTGTTAGGTTGGCAAGTCTGCCTTTGTTATAAATGTCTAATTATTTTCAGTGTGTAATAAGAAAATGAGTATCCCTCTATTTCTTTACTTGTGAAAAGCTCCTACTAAAAATGGACAACTTAATCTAGGGGAAGCTTGTAAATTGAATCTTTACAGATGTCTATGAAAAGTAGTGATCCAAACATATGAACAGGAAATTATAGTTTTAGGGGTGTTCTGCACTCAAATAGTGTAAAAAAAAAACAAGATGCCATAGTCATAAGTTAGCAAGATACAATGTTTCCTGGCAGAGTTAGAAGATTCACAGCTGCAGGCTGAATTAAAAAGGTAATATTTTTAGCAGCATTACTATATAAATGGTTGTGTATATATTATATATTTTGTATATATTTTGTTTTACATAATTGCAGTTTTCCTTTAAGGGTTTAGCAATTTTCATTCATACTAGTACTACAAAAGATACCCACACTAAGTCAATAAAGATAAAAACAAGGAGCAAAAACAAAGATAAAACCAGGAGCACATAACATGACCTACACCTGTTCATTTCATGTTGCCCTAGTGCAGGGGTCTCCAAACTTTCTAAGCAAAGGGTCAATTTACTGTCCTTCAGACTTTAGGGGGGCCAGACCAGAAAATGAAATGGCATTAGTGGGAATAAAATCTGCCCCATCTTTGGAGTTAGTGAGAGGGATTGTGCCCATCATTGCTGTAATTGGGCTCCATTCTTGGTATCATTGTGATGAACTGTGCCTCATCGTTGGTGTCATTGGTTGGAATTGTGCCCCATCATTGGTATCACTGGGAGGAATTTGTTGGTGTCAGTGGATTAAATAGTGCCCCAAGGGCCAGATAAAAGCAAGCACAGGGCTGCATCCGCCCCCCGGGCTGCAGTTTGGAGACACTACTCTGGTGCACTGTTTGTAGCTCCTATATGTCACTGTAAAGTTGACTGTATACAGTATATCTGTCATTGTATTACATTTAGATATCTACTATATTTAATACAATTGGTATAAAGAGGCAGTTTATCAGAATCAAATTTATGTTCAGGTCACCTTATTTTTTCACTTAGACTAATAACCAAGGGCAAAAAAATAGGGAATATAAAATAACTGGCTCCAAAGCTGAGAAGTGCAGACATTTTACATATTGCACACCATTGATACACCAACCCAAGCCATGTTAGTTCCAGCATACTATGAAGTGACTAATTCTGATGGCTTGGCTAAAACTTTTATGTATTACATTACAGTGGACTGGAGGTTTAAAGGATATAAATAGAAGCCGTTCAGAAGTACAATATAATACAATTGCCCATCTCTGACCACCAATGTTAAGAGGGTGAAATAGAGGTTAAAAAAAATTCAAAATGTTCTTTTTTATACCACATCTATATCCCATCACCCGTCAGTAACACATCTCTCTAAGTATTAAGTACAAGGCTAATCAGAAATGGAGATATCAGAGATGAAACTCTTGCAAGATCCATTTATGATTGAAAGTCACTATTCATTTGCTGTTTGGGTGATTCCTAAGTCTTAGGCAGAACTGGGCAGAAAAATTGTTCGTCATCTATGTACGTGTGTGTGCGCGCGCGTGCGTATGCAGATCACACATTCATTCCATGCTACTAGTCTAGACAAAAAACCCAGACTAGCATTTTAACTAAAGCCATTGAATATACTAGTTACAGATAATTGTTTTCATATAATGATGTAATGCCAATGTATTTGCTTCTTAACTGTCTTGGAAAGAAACCTATAGTTTGCAAGACATTATATTAAAACAAATACCAGATACTTAGCCAATTTAAGGGAAAACGTCCAAAAAATTATACTCACATAAGCAAATGTTATACACTTCCTGCAAACAAGTGGAAATATTGGAGATGTATATAGTTTAAAGTGGCTATTTTAAGCTTTATGTGTAATTTAGCAGAGCATGTGATTTAATTACACCTTATGTAAAGGTCGCAATTCTCCCTAGACCTCAATAGATTACGTTTTATGTTCAAGCACAAAATATAATCTCTGTATTTTGTTTTTAGAATATCTAATTAGCAAATTAACATTTACTACCATAGCAACTTGATTAATTAATGTTATGTTATGATTTAATCACTAATTGCTTAATTAAAAAAAGTATTGAGGGAGAAAATAAAAATGTATGCATTACTCATTAATACAGATTATTCATGTAACCCCCTTTGGTGTCTGAGTGATGCCTATGGTGCACTTTTGCCCTCATAAATATTTAATGTTTGCGGATATTTGAAGTAAAAAGCTCTGCAATCCATGAGGAAGTACCAATTTCTTTCAGCTTCGAGGCTCTCAACATGGCAAAGTGGTTTGTCAACCATAATTACTTCCCAATTACATGGTCAAAATATTATATTAAGAGCACTTTGTTTTCTGATTGCAGTCCTTTGATCATTTTACCATGGAATGTGCTGGCATTGTGAGCTTACATGATGTACGATTGCTGTCAGTGTTGAAATAACAGTAAATGCGTCTGGCTAGGCCCCACCTGCTAAGCAGTATGTTCTCAATCCCTCAGGCAGAGCTGTGCACCACTTGGCTAAGAAAACTTCCTCCCACTGAGCAAATGGCAGAGTAGCAAAATGTATGCACGCAGCAGAGAATACAGACAGTGAGTGGGAAACCGAGGACATGTATGTCAAGCTTCACTTAGTGCCAACCCCTAAAAAACACTCCTTCATAGTAGGGCTGTAAAACAAGCACAGGCTGCTCACATAACATACATCATTATCACAAGTGGCGTAAAACAAGTGATCTGGTGATCTGTCAGTCTTGATCTCAGTTTTATGCAAAATCAAGTCAGAGATGTAACAATTGCTTCCAAACCTATATGGAGAATATTCTTTTGTTCAGTCCAGAGTATCTGTAATGGGATTCTAATATAAAGGAGGATGCTGATATTACAGTAGACAGTCATCTGATAATGGCAATGTACGTGTGATCTAATACTTACCAAGCCATCTGTGTGGCTCTGAAGGCAAACAGGTTGGAAATGTATGAAAAAAAGCCTTTTTTTTTCCTCCAACTTTAATACATATCTAAGAATGATGCCAAGAATGATGGATCTAAGACTAGGAAGACTAAGAATCTAGGACTAGGATTATGAAACATCTGGGGCAGCTTTGGGAACCCTGAGAAAAGCAATGATGCAGTGGAGAACTTTGGGTATGGAGGGGTATGAACAGGTACTTTTTAATAAAACCTGAGCCTACTCACTGTGTACAACACACATCCAAAAGTCTCTCAGTACCCACAAAATATCCTTTAATCATTGTGCCACAAGAATCTCACAGACATAAACCTAAATTCAGCACCAAGAACTTGGATAGCAGAAAACATGCAATAAATGGAGCATGCCACAACTTCCAGGTTTTATTGCCAAAGCGTAAATGAACAAACTCACGTTAGAAGCTGATTGGCTGCCCTGCACCAGATTCTGAGTGCAGCAGTTTTAGTAAATTTCCCTCTTAGTGTATGTAGCTAGTGCTACTAGAGTAAATTACAACACACCACATTGTTCTGTAATGGAAATAGTTCATTTGGGACAGCTTGGCTCCAAAAAAACTATTTTAAGTGATATATTAAACTCCACTCAAAAAGATTTTTTTTGGCTAATTGCACTGTAAAAATAAATGAAGTACTCCACCCACCACCATACAGTACAGTCAGCACTAACCGATCATAGGTATAAAGATAATTATTGGTCACTCACTATGCAGCTTGTCCATTATGAAAAAGCCTTACTTTATTTTCAATGAAGGCAAGGCACAAGGCATTCTGTGATTGGGGAAGGTGTAGATGAATATCACAATCTCCCCTCCTTCAACCACAGAATGCTCTACTTTCATTGAAAAGAGTGCAAGATGTTTTTGGAATGGTTGAGCTGCAGAGTGAGTGACTTGCTGTTATCAGTGTACTCAAGCTGGAACTGAAAGTTTCAACATTGATGTTCAGCACTGACTGTACTGTATGGGGGGAAAATGAAATTAAGAATATTACATAACACAGCAGCAGCTGCACATTGCATACATTTCATTAATGTTCACTTATTTTTACAGGGCAAATGCCCAAAGATTGTTTTTCGTCCAGAGTTCAGCTTTAAGTATGTCACTTAAGAAGAGAAGGAGGTAATAACAGACAGCCTACTGTCAAGTGTGCATTCTATGCTTGCAGCTGTTATTTTCAATGGTAAATAACCCCGCCCTGATTGGAACCCTTAGACAACTGCACACTATTCTTAATGGGAAATGTATGTACACTATATTACCAAAAGTATTGGAACACCTGCCTTTACACGCGCATGAACTGTAATGGCATCCCAGTCTTAGTCCGCAGGGTTTAATATTGAGTTGGCCCACCCTTTGCAGCTATAACAGCTTCAACTCTTCTAGGAAGGCTGTCCACAGGGTTTAGGAGTGTGTCTATGGGAATGACCATTCTTCCAGAAGCGCATTTGTGTGGTCAGGCACTGATGTTGGACAAGAGGTCCTGGCTTGCAATCTCCGCTCTAATTTATCCCAAAGGTGTTCTATCAGGTTGAGGTCAGGACTCTGTGCAGGCCAGTTAAGTTCCTCCACCCCAAATTCGCTCATCCATGTCTTTATGGACCTTGCCTTGTGCACTGGTGCGCAGTCATGTTGGAAGGAAAGGGGCCATCTCCAAACTGTTCCCACAAAGTTGGGAGCATGAAATTGTCCAAAATGTCTTGGTATGCTGATGGCTTAACAGTTCCCTTTACTGGAGCTAAGGGACCAAGCCCAACCCCTGAGAAACAACCCCACACCATAACCCCCCTCTACCAAACTTGACACTTGGCACAATGCAGTCAGGCAAGTACCGTTCTCCTTGCAACTGCCAAACCCAGACACATCCATGGGATTGCCAGACAAAGAAGTGTGATTTGTCACTCCAGAGAACATATCTTCACTGCTCCAGTGGGGGTGAGCTTTACACCACTGCATCTGATGCTTTGCATTGCACTTGGTAATGTAAGGCTTGGATGCAGCTGCTCGGCCATGGAAACCCATTCCATGAAACTCTCTACGCACTGTTCTTGTGCTAATCTGAAGGTCCCATGAAGTTTGGGGTCTTTAGCTATTGACATTGCAGACAGTTTGCAACTTCTGCACACTGTGTGCTTCAGCATGCGCTGACCCCACATTTTACGTGCTCTACCAATTCATGGCTGAGTTGTTGTTGTTCCCAGTTGCTTCCACTTTGTTATAATACCACTAACAGTTGACCTGGAATATTTAGTATCATGGAAATTTCATTGATGGAATTATTGCACAGATGGCAACCTATCATGGCACCACACTTGAATTCACTGAGCTCCTAAGAGTGACCCATTCTTTCACAAATGTTTGTAGAAGCTGTCTGCATGCCTAGGTGCTTGATTTTATACACCTGTGGCTATGGAGGTGATTGGAACAACTGAATCCCAATACTTTTGGTAATTAGTGTATGTATGTTTGTAACCTTGCAACCTTTCCTTGTAGCGGTACTATATTTTAACAATTAACATTTACAAATTTTGCTTAATTTCAAGGAAACAATGTATATAAATACATCTTATTTTGCCTTGTATTTGATAACTTTATAACGATAAACCATGAAATGTATTTCGGCTTGCAGAATCCTAAGTGTATTCCTTCTTTTTTTTCACCAGTCAACATTTTCCTCAGGCGGAACAGCAACAAACAATTTTCCTTAGGTTATAAATGTAACCTGTAAAATACTTGAATGTCATAAGTCCTTTGGCTTGAGGCATTACAACACAATCTTGCAAATGTCAAGATTTATACAAGCCAGAGGCACAATGTTTATATACTGCAACCATTTTATCTTGTTATGTATGAGCTTTTGCATATACAATGAGTGACATTTGCATATACCTCAAAATTAGAATGTAAAGATAAAAATATGCTTGGGTTCTACATTATAGTTCTCAGGAATGAAATGTCTAGAGTGATAAATATGTGCTGTATTCCAAATCACTTTGCTTGGCAACAGCCTTGAAAACCTAAAAGATACCTTGTACGCTTTAAGTGGTATTTATGAAATGATGTGACTTGTTTCAAAACTTAGAACAAAGAAGCAGTGAAGAAACAAATCCAATAATTTTATCAGTCTCTTTCTGCTGTTTATTCTGTGGTATATATCAAGGTTGTCTTTGATATATTGTATAGCATAACAGTTTTGTTGCTGTTTACTTAATGGGTTTACTTGGAAAAGTAAGAAATTTAAAAACAAATGACAGCTTGACTGGAGATATTGTTTTGTTTTTTACTAAAGGAGATATTTTACCTTTTGATTGAGTAAACTTGAATCTAGTCATATGTATGACTTTCTTAAAAAAGACTAAACATGTCTTTGAAGTGATTAAAAGGTTAATTTTTCCAAGAGTGAATATTACACCTTCAGTAATGCGTCCACCTAGACTGTTGAAAAAAAAAAATATCTTTAAGATAATGTGTACTTTGTCTAAGCATAGTTACAGGTTACAAGTTTTATTTACTGCATGCACCACGAGAAATTGATTCTTACCTTCTCTGTGCTCCCCTCTGCCCCAATCCATTAGTCAAGACTAGGTACTTTTGTGCATGGAAGTAAACACTCTGCTGGTTTTTATTGTTGTAGTTTCATTACTTGGTGCCTGAGCAGTGGCCAATTGGCCAAGGATGGTGGTACCATTTACAACCCTTAAAAGTGGAACTAAAACCAACAATTTAACTGTTGCCCAAGGTAGTTAGGACTCGTTCACTCCATACGTGCAGAAAAACTAATGGAAACTGACACACACAGATTTCACTTGCAGAGACATCAGTTTTCATGCGCACTTCAATGAGTTTTATGCATGTTACAGATTCCTGCTCAGAAAAAATCTGCATGTGATACTGGTGTTGTGGCGTGAACAGGGAACATAGAGAACAATAGATTTTGTTGTACCCTTGCTGAAAAACTGATGGCTCTGCACCATGGTGTGAATGAGCCCTTAAATTTAAGGCATGCTGCGAATGATAACTGTCACATTTGCTTTTGCCCTCAACTGAACTGTCAAGCCATCAAATGTCTGTCATAGCTGATCACACGTGCAGCCTTATGGCAACTGCAAATCAAAGTGAGACCAATATGGCAGCTTCCTTGGCTGAAAAGTTCAGGTGGGTTTAGTTGCGCTTTAAGTATAGGTTCCTCATAACTGCCTTTGAAGTCTGCTATTAAGCAAACTTGGTACATTGTCTAGTCCAGGCAAAGTACAGGTATGCTTCTTTTTAAATGTCCTGTGTTACCAATATGTGAAAAATGACTAAATGCAAGGTGTTTTAGCAAGGGGATTGGAGCTGTGTATAAATAAGATCATGGCTTCTGTGTATGAGAGCTGCAGCTCTCAAATTCACAGTGCTAGAAATATAGTGAAATCTTTACTATCCAGCAAGACTAAAAATGGGGATTTTACTAGGGCAGACAGAATCCAAAGCAGATGTTAATGGCAACCAGCTTCTACTTTTCAGTTTCACCGCTTAACTGAACAAGCCAAGGCTAGAAGCTGATTGGTTATTAAGCACAGCTGCTCCATATTCTGTCTGCCCCAGTTTTAGTAAATTTCCCCCAAAATGTCAAACAAATAAACAAAGGGATGTGATCCTGGAGGTGGCATACACTTTGTGAGACTTATTTATTTGTTACACAGTTATTAAAAGTAACACCCTTACTGCAATGTCAGCTGCAAGATGTTAAAACCTGCACAGGATGGCAGTGTCCTGCAAATTCTGCGAAGCAGCTCCATGGATCTTGTATGCCGAAACGCAGGACTTTGCTGGGGAGCCGTGTACCACAGGACTACCCTTAAGTGCTGGTATGTGAGCGAGGGCAAATATATACAGAGGCCCAGGAGGCAGGACAGGAAGTGAGAGAAAGAAGAGAGAGAGTGTTACCAACTGCTGAAGAACCAGACCAGACCGCAGAGTCGGAGAGAAAGGACGCAAGGAGGAGCCACTGACCACTGACTTTGCCACCTTGTTCAGTGAGACAGTCTGCCAGCAGGTGACCCGATGGAATGCTGCACATGAGGCCGGAGGACCTGTGGGGGCCCCCATCCAATGGGAGACAGACAGCCAGGACTTGCTGGAAGCCACCGATTAGGTGAGAGAGTCCCATACACCAGTTAAGCAAGAGAAACACTGACATTCTTCTTATACCTGCTACTTTACCTGCACACAGCTGTGGACATTACATCCAGTTAACACATGTTGCGGCCTAGTTCCCATAACTGCTACTGTTGAACATATGTCTTTTCTTTGCAGTTTTTGCAGTTCAAATCATCAAAGCTGACACACTGCATGCCTCCTTGCAGGCCAAAGGCACATAAGTCACATTCTTGCTCTCTGCTTTCTTTAAGTCCCACCATTGGCCTATGCCCCTAAAGGAACATTCTATCACCACTGTCTCCCAAGCCCATTGGTCCGCAATATCTCCTTACCAGAGTAGAATTGCCATTTTGCCAATAAGCCCATTTGCCAGTTTAACACTTTATTTGCCTAAACTGCTCTTTTCCCAGCACATTAAAGGAGACAACATACAAGTCAATTGTCATTTAAAGGGAAAGTCCTTGCCCTTTCTTCTACCTCCTCTTTGTGTAAATCCTGTTAGAACTTTCAAATACATCAGCTACAGTCCTGCCATTTGTGCACCAACTGGGCCCCAGTGAGTGCGCAAAAGAGTCTTCACTGCAATTAAAGGGGCATGGATTTCTACCTCAGATTTAAACCTTGCCATCAGACTTTTAGGGCCCAAAGTGAAGCTAGTCTCTTTGTTGCTAGTTCTTATTGCTCACTGTCGTTGCTACCACCTCAGGTTGGAAGCATTGGGTTAATTTCTGATTGATTAAACGTCTGCTATATGTATTACATATTTGCTTAGAGTTGCAAAGAGTAATTATTGCCATTTCAAGTATCAATAGCAGTTATTACTGTTCATCCAAGTCTGCATTGAAGTTTAATATAAACTTCATATCAGTTTTCTCTAATCTGTGTGTGAGTTTTGCTTTCTGGTGGTAATTTACACTGGTCAAAGGAACCTTGTGGTGTCAGCAGGGGCTGGACTTTCAGAGAGGGGTCCAGAATGATAGGGAGTCCAAAAATAACTCAGCAACTCCTAAGGGGATAGTGCTGCATAACAGCCCAAAATTACATTCTGCTGAATATGTAGCTTCTGTAAATGCAGGATCTTTTTTCTAAATCGAAAATTATGTTAGTCATAATAGGGGATTACCTAAAATCATTAAGTCTAAAATTTCATGGTACTAAGATAACATTGTTTAAAATGCATTGTGAAATTACTTTTTAAGCACTTCCCATCTGGTCCATGTACATAAATGGCTGGATGGGAGCAGTGCAGGAGCGGGTTGCCGTTCATAAACGGTGCCCACTTTTTTTTGGCTGTGTACGCTCCCTGGGAGCGCGCGCGGCACCGTGATCCGCTGTGTCCGGAGCTGTACGGGACCTCTGTGTGAGGTCCCGATCATGTGATCACAGATTGGCCAATCAGTGATCACATGAATAGTAGTAAGGAAGATGTCACTTCTGACATGATTGCTTACTACTAGTGAAATAGTAGTCATACTACTGTGAATGATCACAGAGGTCACATGGTACAGGGCCATTCACAACAGCCTTGTACCATGTGACAAGCTGTGACCAATCACAGCTCTCACAGTATTTCTCAATGGCTGCAAGAATGCAGTCAGAGAGAAGGGGAAATGATTGCTTTTACAGCCTTTATGGGTGTAAAAGCAATCAGTGTAAAAAAAATAAATAAATAAAAAAATAAAAATCTTCATCACCCCCCACAAGTAGTACAGTGTCACTATGGTGACATTGTACTGCTAGGGTGACAGTATGTTAAAAAAAACATAAATAATATAAAAAATAAAATAAAAATGTAAAAAACATTTAGAAAAATTATAATTTTTGGTTATAAACTAATTTGGGTTATATTTTTTTAAAAAAGATGATCGAATACATTTTGGCCAAGATTTATGAAGAAAAGATTATTTATTTGCAAAATTTTATAAGGAAAGCACTTTTTTTTCAAAATGTTTGGACATTTTTATTTATATAGCAAAAAAAATAAAAATCCCAGTGGTGAATAAATACCAACAAAATAAAGTTTTACCTGTCTCAAAAAAATGCTAAAAAATTCATATGGGTACACTGTTGCATGACCGCGCAATTGTCATTCAAAGTGTGATAGCACTGAAAGCTGAAAATTGGTCTGGACAGGAACGGGATAAAGTGTCCGGACTCGAAGTGGTTAAGTTATTTCTTGCCTTCATTTCTGGGTAGATTTTGTCTTAGTTTGCAATCTACTAAATATGGACTGCAGTATAATTAGTGGAT